TATTATGCATGTTTTGTCATCCCTTTCCGGTGCTTGTTTATAAAGTTCAAATGGGTCCCAACAACATTATGTGGTTCACAGATATAAATAATAAAAACAACACTTTAACCAATGAAAAACCGTAATCATTAAACTGAGACGACGATAATTGATTTTAGTCATATAAGACATATATCCAGTTAGAAACGTCTACTATTAAGAAATCCAGAACGCCATAATTGAGCTAATATTTATATTCCAATTATACTAGCATTAGGAAAGCAGAAACATCATTAATAAGATACCGCGACGGTAGTTGACATGAGTAAAATCGTATTTATATCTCTAGTCAAATGGAAGAAGTTAAATAATTTTTGATACTCCAAGAAATCAAATCAAGAAAGTATGAAACTCAACTTTAAATAAAAAGGAAACATGAACATATGTATATTCATAAAATCATAATACAATATTTAATAATTATAATAAAATTACTCGTGTATATTATTGAATCACCAAGACGACATAAATATTTAAATTGAGTTACTGAGCTAGAAACTGAGTTATGGACACCTAGGGATACGTAGCTGGTCACACTGGAATAAATGATAGCGAGCCTACGAAACGACACAACCTTTCAATGCTGTGAACTGAAGTCTTATTGTGAAGAAAAATAATTTACAATAATGTCTTTCATACAAAAATGGATCTTAACTGTAAACGGGATTGACTCTACCGATGCGTTACTTTAGGTAGCCATCAGGATTAGGTGCTAAATTGTTCTTACAATTATTGTAAAACGCCACTACTTAGCTGTTGATAAGTTAACTGACGTGACATCATGACCAACAAATAAATCTACCTGAGAAGACAAAATTTCGGATCTGCTAAGAGGCAGGCGATATCTGTAGTCATATTTGGGGAAACTATCTAGAATGAGTAATATAATCTGTACTTAGTTTAGTATAATAAGCCGTGAGTTCCTATTTCTGGTTATTATAAAACAATCCTAAACGGAAGCATTTTTTTCAAATATCTTCTTGCTTAGAGTCGGACATATCTTATGTCCCATATATCATGGTCTGTTAGATTAAACATTATTCGATTAAACAATTAATATTGAATTGTTTTTAATGTTTATTTTGACGACAGCAATTAAATTCTTAATATAAACTATTGTTTTCAATAGAGAGGTGTTTCGAACAATAGTAAATTACAATAATAAAATTTTATTATTTATTAATTAATTGAATTTTTAGGTATCCTATGTGGGTACCGAGACACGAAGGGCATAAGGGCAATGAAATAACAGACACCCTAGCAAAGAAGGGTGCATGTACTCCTTTCATTGGTCCAGAGCCCTTCTGCCGGGTAACAAATAGCTTCACAAATAACTTATTATATGAACGGGAGAAACAACATCTACTTGAACACTGGAGAGAGCCCAAATAGACATGCGACAGTCAAAAAGATTCATTGATTCTGAACACATCAAAGTTGATGCTATCCTTGGCCTTAGCAGAAACGACATTAAAAACTACACTGAACACTGTAAACTTAATTACCACATGAAGATTATAGGTGCGGTAGAAAGTGACCCCTGTCGACTCTGTCATGAGGAGAAGACAACATCAGAACATATTCTATGCAACTGCTCAACGGTGGCAAGACGTAGAATCGACTACCTTGGAAGCGAGATCTTATAAATAGTTTAGAATTGTCTTAGTTGGGCTCTTAGGAACATAATAGATCTTTTAGTTCGGGGTGCATTCATAGCCTATTATTTAATAATAATAAATTATCACAAAAATAATTCTTATTAATTCTTAAAATATTTACTACTAAATTAATCTTATAAATTTATTTCATTTTATTTATTTTACTCTGTACAGAAAAACTCAATGAAAAATTATTAACCGCAGAAATACTTGCAAATTAATTAAATTTAATTTAATTTCAAGTTCAAATGAACTGCACAATATTGTTTGTCTTTTTTTTTTTTTTAATTATATTGACAAATTGTTATTGTTTTTTTTAATGCTATATAATACTAAATATAAAGTAAATTTTAATAAATTTTATTTTTTAAATTTTATGCAAACACGAAATATTAAAGGAGAGAAAATGCATTTAGCGGCGTTCAATGTAAACAAATTAATTAGTTTATTATGTTTATTAAATTATTTATGTGAAAAACAATTTCGCATGTCATTTATCTTTCGGTAATCGCCAATTTTTATTATAGAATTTAATATTAATTTCGCTTTTGAATAAAAAAAAGTTCAAATGGAAACAAAGGAAATTTTTTAAGCTTATCTGAATTATAATAAACAAAACCTTATCTTGTCAATAAATATTTGCAACAGAGCGATTCCATGTGGATATGCTAATTAGATATAGCATTTTAAATAAAAAAATATAAAATTAAAATAAAAGTAATTTCAACGGTTAAAACAGACATTGGGAATCACTTTACTTAGTAGGTATATATGATATATGACTTTTTTGTTTGACAACTGACAGATTAATTGATTATTGATGAATATTTTTTAGCATTGCTGATTGGTATATTGCGTAAAAAATTATTATAAAGAAATTTCAGAATTTCGTTATTGCACAATTTTATTATGATAAAAGAAAAATATATACATATAAAAATTTTATTGGAATTAAATGCTGAAACATATTTCACACGATTTCATTTTGCAAACTTAGCTTTGCAGGATAATTGGCCTATGTTCAGACAGGATCTTGCTAGGAAATTAAAGACTTACCTAAAGACTAACTAAAGACTAATAAAATAATTTCAAAGCATTTTCATAAATCTAGTTTAAATTATTAAAAGTTTCTCTCATTTGTTTCTCTCACTGTATTCAGAATACTTATTCGGACGTCAAATAGATTTAAAGCAGTTAGACCTCATAAGCGCAATTGCTATAAACCTTATGAGTCTTACTTAAGTCTATGTTAGAAAGAAAAAGAAATATAAAATCTGCTGCGATTGGGTAACCTTATAGTTTGTTGTCTGTTGGAGTGTTATTTACAGGTGTACTATGCTACTACTTCGATACTTTAACGGTAGCATATTTTAGCATTTAGGCTGTTTAATAATTACTATAACGAAGTGGAGGATGTGAATGGAATAAAAAATTTTACCTCACAAAACGCTTATTCACTTTACTTAAAATTGGCACTAATAAAAAGAAATGCATAACTAGGTTGTTGGGAACACTACCATGGAAGAGAATAAGTAATAACAGTAAGTATAACGTTGGGAAGACTAAAATTGAAATGAAGGATTAACCGAAGTAGACCACGAGACGAGCAGAGGCGCCTGGGGAGACATGCTGCGTTAGGCCGAAACTCGGTAACGGGTTGTTATGGCCACATAAGTAAGTAAGTAAGTAAGACCACGAGACGACTTGAATTTTTTTTCGTCCTTCGATTCTCGGATGTCGTTATTGAGTGAAAGTGAGTAACTACATCTCTTGTTATTGCAAGCAACTTATTTAATTTGAGGTTGGCTGCCAAGTCATCACCAACTCAATGGTGTCCCAAGACAATCATCCTCCTGCTTGCTAGTGCTGGACATTGACACAATATATGCACCGTTGTCTTCATTTCCTTTAGACAGAGTCTGCATGTGTCTTCCACAACAAGTGTCATCCTTTTGAGGTGTTACTTGAAGTTTCCATATCCAGTAATCAATGAGCTATTGGCTATGTACGTCTTTTGCATGCTTTTGAGAACTGCTTGAGACTATTTACATTCATGTTTTGAGCAATTTTTTTGTAAATTTGCTTAATTATGCGGACACAGTATAAAAGACTGTCTCGAACACAATGTCTTCGAAGATGATTTTTCCAACTGGGTATAAATGCCTACTAACACAACTACAAAAACCATCGACAAGACTTAGTCTTACCTAACCTATTCTACCAATAAATAGCTAGAACGCTTTATGTTCATTTGTTCTAAAGTAACTAATTATACTATTCAAGGAAAGTAAGTTACGAATGTAGAAGACAATAGTACGACCGGTAGCTGCATATGGCTCAGAAGCTTTAAAACTTTTCGAAAGAAAAATAATTCGCCAAATCTACGTGCCAATCTAAATCGATACAGAAACTTTTCAAAGACGAACAAATAATGAAATTGAAGAACTACTAAGAAACGATAATATAATGAGATACATTAAGTCGTAATGGTTACAATCGACTGCTCATGTAGTAAGAATGGGACCGAACAGAAAGCCGAGCAGCATATACAACGCAAAGCCGATGACAACCAGGCACAGAGGTAGACCAAGAGCAAGATAGAATGAGAATGTTTGTGGTGATGCAAGAAAGATTAGAGTGCTGAACTGGAAGAGCGTAGCAGAAGATCGGAACAGATGATAGCAGGTCTTGAGGGAGGTCAAAGTTTACACTGCACTGTAGTGCCAAATAAGAAAGGAAAATAACAAATTATTAATTTATTGAGAGCAAACTAATCAATTATTTAGCATACCACACTTTAACAGCGTGTAGGGTGCAAATTATACATGCAAATCATAAATTAAAAGCCAAAATATTCGCAAAATGTTGGGGAAAAAAATTTATTTATAAAATTTAAATGAGTTTAGTGTGTTTTTAAACCCAAAATTAAAATAAATTAGGTAAATGCCAGCAACCACATAACAAAAAAGTGTTGATTTGAGTATTTAACAAAATTTTAGCGGCTATTTTAAGTGGAAAGTAAAACTTTATCTATTTTACAGATAGCAAAAATATTATTAATAGAAAAAATAAATGTTTTTATATATAATTTAATACTAAGTACAGAAAAACAGTTTCATTGATAGTTTAAAACGATTAAATGTGTAATATTGTGCTTTTACGAGAATCTCCAAATATTGAATGAAACTTTTTTTTTTACAGTAGAAGAATGTATCATTTGTAGATAATAATAATAGTAAATAAAAGATAATATCGGTATGTTGTAAATAAAAGTGTTTAAAAGATTTTGGAATATCAACTCACCTTTAACTGCAGCTCATAATTGTTTAATTATTTAACAATTTTAGCCCAATGACCTTATTTTATTGTTGTTATTTCACAAATATTTACTTTTTTTATTTAGGTTCTCAGTTCCATAGTTCGAATGCTGTGAATCAGTTATTAAAAATTTAATAAAAAATCGTTAAAACTTCGAAAAAGTAACAATAAACGAATTATGGCCAAACACAGATCTGTGCTCGTTTATCAATTACTTTAGGAATATATTTTTATTCGATTAGTTTTTGGATTTTTGATTCGATTTGGCTTGGTTTTTTTATCTGATTGTGCTTTGAAGTCAGACTTCATTTAATAAAAAAATAAAAAAAAAAATCATTGCAAAGTTAACGTTTCAAGTTGCATGAGGTTGTTTGCCTTCAAAATCAGTGAAAGACTATGAGGTAATTTTCCAAATATGCTACTAAATACGGTGTGAGAAATAAATTTATGCAAATTAAAACACTTGAAAAATAAAAAAGAAATTTTTTAATAAAAGATTCTTTTCAAAGAAAAAGAATAAAATAATACAAAAATAAAAAAAAAATATATATGAAGATGTAAATAAGAATTTGAGAACAAAGAATATTACAGTAAAAGACTAAAAAGATCACGGAAGTTGCTGACTGGATTTGTAAGTATCTGTTATTAATAATATAAATATTTAATATTTTTATATATACAAAATAATAACGAACAATGAATTGAGTTTAGTTTTGACCGCAGAATACATTATAATATATTATATATATAACATAATATATATAATTATGATAAAAGTTTGATATAAAATATATGAGATATATATAAGAATAATTAATTTAATATTATTTTTAATAATCAAAATATAAGTATGACCAAATACTGCTCAAAAGACTTGTTAAGAGTTTTCTTCAACTATCTTTATTCTTTTTATAGAGAAGATATGGTACTTATTAAGAACAAGTTCGGAATCAATTATTAACTATATACCATAAGGCGTATATACTACTGAAAAGAGCTGTTAACAGTTTCCTTTAACTATCTTTATTATTTTTAAAGATATGGTACGTATTACGAACCTGTTTGGAACCAATTATTAACTACCATATATACCATAAGGTGTATATACTACTGAAAAAAACTGTTAACAGTTTCCCTTAACTATCTTTATTATTTTCAAAGAGCAGATATGGTACTTATTAAGAACCTGTTTGGAACCAATTATTAACTATATACCATAAGGCGTATATACTACTGAAAAGAGCTGTTTAGACTTTCCTTCAACAATCCTTATTCTTTTTATAGAGCAAATGTGGTACTTATTAAGAACCTGTTTGGAACCAATTATTAACTATATACCATAAGGTGTATATACTACTGAAAAGAGCTGTTAACAGTTTCCCTTAACTATCTTTATTATTTTCAAAGAGCAGATATGGTACTTATTAAGAACCTGTTTGGAACCAATTATAAATTATATACCATATACCATATAGTATATATTATATACTACTGAATACTACTGAAAAGAGCTGTTAACACTTTTTTTCAACAATTTTTATTCTTTATATAGAGCAGATATGGTACGTATTAAGAACCAGTTTGGAACCAATTATTAACTATATGCCATGTGATGTAGATTTTAGGATCTCAACGAAGTTTTTATTCTCGTTGAGAAAGTAAGATTTCGGATCTCAGATTTAGAAGCATTTTAAGAAGTAAAAACAACATATTTGCTATAAATATTTTTACAGATTCATTTAAAATGTGAAATGTTTTAAATTTTGGTCAACTTTTGAACACGGTTTTATTATTATTATTAGTAAAGGCCATGGTATAACAAAAATTATATATCAATTGTGTTATCACAAGACAACGGAATAACCCTCGATGAAAGTTTTCCGAACTCTTTCAAGTTGATGAAGAAAACATGTAAGTTATATAAACGTTTCGTAGCATTCACAGAATTTCAGACTATTAAATTCAATCAAATAAAGATAAAGACAATAGAATTATTTCTTAAGATTTGCAGAGTACAAACAAAGTATAAGGAATAATGTTTCACTCCGTATTTCACAGAACCTGCAGGTATCAGTATTTTAAAACCAGATTTTTTTAAATGTGCTAGTTAATATTAGCGTATACAGTTAAAAGAAACCCAAAATTAAATAGAGATTTATCTCTATTCTTTAAATTTCTCTAGTGTTATCACATCTGTGTTTAGTAGTACTTAAGTAATGTAGTAATAGATCATTCCAAAATCGTAATCGTGCTTTAATTTCTGTTTAATAATTCTATTCTACGGAATGGACATATAATAGACATATGGAATTTAATATTCTATTCTATAGAATAAAAATATATATATGGAATATAGACAAGATTAGTATAGTTATTAGCTCAACTTTATAATGTTATTAGGGAACATTTTGATTTATTGTTATATTACTCGAATATCATTGAAGATCATTCTGAAATCTTAATCCTGTTTTCAGCTCTGTTGAATAATTCTATTCTATGGAATGGACATATGGAATAAAATATTCTTTTTTATAGAATAGACATATATATGGAATATAGCCAAGAATAGTATAGTTATTAGCACAACTTCATGAAGTCATTAGGGGCTATCATTTTGATTTATTGCTATATTAATCGATATGATTAAATGACATATTAATGAAGTTATTTATTATCATTAAAAAAATAATAGTTCTACTATGATGATATATAATTATTGTTTAAGGAACATTCTGACATCGTGATGTCAGACTCTTCCAACTCTGTTAAATAATTCTATTCTACGGAATGGACTTATAATAGATATATGAGATAAAATCTTCTATTCTATGGCATCGACATATATATGGAATATAGCCAAGAATAGTATACTTATTAGCACAACTTCATGAAGTCATTAGGGGTTATCATTTTGCTATATTCAGCGATATGACTATATTAATATATCATTAATGAAGTTAATTATTATCATTATAAAAATAATAGTTCTATTATTAAAATATAATTATTGTTTAAAAGGAATCAATGCAGTTGAAATAATTCAAGACTAAAAAACTTATTATCAAAAATATCTTGAATTTTTTATTCTTCATATTGATATATTCTTCGCATTATTCATATATATCTTCTAATATTTTTCCTTATATTTTCCTACTCTAAATGCTTTTCATCTTCATCTTCATCTTCAATTTATTATAAATAAATTCATTGTCAGACTTGTGACTTCTGTTCACATTGAATTCACTTCAAACCACCAACCGGCGTATTAAACACGTGTACGCTGTCTGTCCATTCATTTTGTTGCTATTTTCGTGAACAATTTCGATTTGTTTATTTATATTTTCATTGAATAATAAATGCAAACCTAAATGAGGTGGCATCACTACTACAATTTGTCGCGTGCAATGACACTTTTGCACATTTCCACGGCTCGGTACACACGACAAAATCACAAAAGAAAACGCAAAATAAATAAAACAAAAACATAAAAATAAAAACATACAAAAAAACAAAAAACAAAAATAACAAACAAAAAAAAATAAAAAGACAATGAGAAAAACAAAACTAAAAAAGTAAACAAGGCAGCGCACATGAAACGTCATATGAAAAGGGGGACAGGTAAAGCACAAATCCAATTAAAAAAAAACAAAAAAAAATCCAAACTTAATATGAATAATAAAATAAATTCACAAAAAGTCAAGTTTCTACGTAAACTAGTAAATAATAGCATATTTCTTAATTTGGCGCATATTTTGCTTTGAAATTTCACATTCATGCAATTTAATTCAAAAATATTTTTACATTTGGCTTGCTTTGCAAGTTTTTTGATTTGATATTTTCGTTTTCGTAATTTATTTTTTGTGCGCCCACTTCAGCTCACGTCATTTCACTTCATTTGACTCGAGTGCACAAGTTTTTGAGGAAGGAACACGATTTTTTTATTAAAGTTTTTATACATAAATTTTTATTAAATAAAAAAATGTAATAATTATTTTAAATTTAAATAAAACAAATTTTTTTAAATAAATTTATTAATTTTATAATGCACAAAATCTTAGTTAGGTATTATTTTCTATATATTGTAAATCGCAAGTAGTTAACCTACAGCAACAACACACACACACACACATGTACAACAAAAACAATAATGCGGCTGGTTATGATGACTCGCACGATGTTTAAGCAGCAGCGGCGAAGTCGACGGTAGCAGCGGCAGCAGTGCGGTGAAGTTGTTGGCTTGAGTTGATTGTGTGCCACTAAACAGTAAATTATTTCTTTCTATATTTTATATCTTTTGTTTTCGTTCTTCACAAATATTTATTCTCTAATATTTCTTCACAAAATCGCATTATATAAATTAGAGAATTATGTATTAAAAGTTCACACATAAATTATTAAAATTTCTCATTGTTGTTTATAATGTTCATAGAAAGTTTAAAAAAATATTAAATAAGAACAATCACTCAACATAATCCGACACGGCACTACACACATCCAATTTCAACGGCAGCACAAATGAAAATGAGGAAAGGAATCCAACTAAACAGCAAAATGTCATAAAAACAATTTGGAATGACAATCACAACAAGAACAACAACAAAACACAGGAACGCTTCGGTATTGAAAGGAACATTGAGAGTTTGAAATATAAGAGTACTTATCGACTTCATTGGTAGCCCTAATTGGTTTCATACAACATTTACACTAACAGCAAGCCAGAGTACATATTCCTATGGTATTCTTATATATTAAACAACGGTAGTTATATGTATTTCTGAGATAAAGCATTTATTTAATATTTCATTTGAATAATAGGTGTATTCTTTTGATATGCATGTGTTATGTTAAGAAGAAGCAATTATTTAAATTTTTTTTTTTGTTAAATAATAGATGTATTTTTTTGGTATGAATGTGTTATATTAGGTCTGTGTCATGAGCTACTTGCAGTAACTTTGAGTAACACTGTGTATACACAAGCACGGTTGCCACTTATGGTACTTTAATACCAAAATTGGTACTTTTTTTTTCCGTTTGGTACTCTGGCACTCATGTTCAAAAAATGGTACATTTTCGGCGACCCAACTTTATTGTGGATATTGTATTGTTTTATACTTTTTGTACATTTTATATAAATTGTATTTTCTTATAAAAAGACAATAGAAAAATTTTGGACCTTTTTTTACAGAAATGGTACCTTTTTAAACCAATTTTGGTACAGAAAAAAATTTTCAAGTGGCAACCGTGTACACAAGTACATTCCACCTGCAAATTTTTGAGTAAATGAGAGCATCTGAGAGCGCATAATATCCCTGTCGAAATTTGAAAATGCTACACAGACTTTACTCGTACGTTTTATTTCAAGTAAAATTTGTGTAATGTGTGAAACAGCTGTTTTGGTTTGAATTTAAATTTTTGTATTGTTTATTTGCGCGACACTGGTCTTCTCACCTGATTTTATACAAAGCTGTTCCATGAAAATCTGTGTTGTGTTATGCGCTCAGTTTGTACTTCACTTGTGTTTTGCTTGAGTTTTACTACGAGTAGCTCGTGGAAGAGCCCTATTATTTCAGAAAAATGATAAATATAACTGCAGAGTGTTCGATAATTATAATAAGTTCCTTTTATTAATTAACACACACAATGAATGAAGGAAACAGAAATGATAGTATTTTTTGACAGAATGACAATAGCAGGAAAAAGTATCATTAACTCTGATTGAAAGAAATTACCAGCACTTCTAAAATACGTTGAATGCTTTTGTTTGACATATGCTTTTTGTTGTCTTGTCTACAAATCATATGATACAAACGACTTAAATTTTGAAACATATTTGTCATATAACTTTCTGCTTTTTTATAACTATTGTATTTTGTATTTATATATATATCGCAATTTTTAGTGAACATAACACGGAAATTATAAAAATCTTATGAAGTAATAAACGAATGACTTTTTCAGAATTACTAACTTTTCAGTCGTCTTCCCAAATTTTATAAAAAAAAATTACTTTACATGTTAATTTTGAAGTGACACCTGTTCTATTGGAGCATTCGTTTTAAGAGAATACACCTATTAAAATCATTTGAATAAGTTTTATTAAAAAAAATATAATAGTGCAACAGTAATACCATGTTCCCACTGCAGCTAACTCAATTAATATTATTCAAATTAAGATTTGGTTATCCAAACAAAAATTTACCTTTTAAACAAAAATACCAAGAATCTTTCTAAATGATAAAACTTAACTAATTTTATAGTTGCAAACATTTACGCAGTTTTGTTCATTATAGCTACTAATGTGGATAATTTACCATAAAAAGAGCTTTCATATAAATGAGCTCATTATCAACAAATTAGTTCATTTAAGGCTAAAAATTTCAAATGCAAAACTTAAAAATAAATTTTTCACAAGGGAAATTGCCAAAATTTGAAATATGTGTCATGTGTTTTATATGTAAGATGTAAATAAACAACAGCTGAGCTGTAAACAAAGGTATTGAGGGACTAAGTATTATATGAAATCTTTGTTTGTTTTAATTGAAAATGTAATTTATATATAAAATGTATATAAATAATTTAAAATATCAATTATATATTTAATTTTTTTGTGTGATGTATTATTAAGCAAATGACCTAAATTAAGCACTGTCAACGTGCTTTAAAAGCCATACAGATTTCTATTGAGAGTCAAGTCGTTTTACTGCTATTGTATTAAAAGTATTAATAAAGAAACCATTTTTTAAACTAAAGAGCAGCTGAATTCTAAATTGTTTAATTGCAATCAAACATAAACGATAACTCATAAAAACTCATTTCAAATAAACTTATACCTTGTTTTCATTGCTTACTTAGTAAGTTACTTAAGGCATGGAAAAGATCTTTTATGCGTCTAAAAGTTCTAGTCGTTGAGCTTTCATAATATGAATTTAGCAGTTGTTGCATTTAGAAAAGAACATGCAACGATTTATAAAAAATTACAAATTATTTAATTATGGGTAAGTTTATTTTCAACTATTAATAACTAATAATTTATAAATAAAAATAAAATGCAACTAACTATATTGATAATAAATAAAGAATTATAAAATTAAAAAATATATATATATATATTGATTAATCACTACGTTCGTTACGACCCTTTCGTGCGGATATCCGCTTTCTATCTTCTTTAAGATTGATTAGTGATTAATCCATTCAGTCTAGCATCTTTTCATCAACAGTTTTTCTTTCTTTTCTAAGTATTTCTTCCATTATGTAGCCATTATAAATAACTGCTAACCGACGTCAGTCCACATTTACCTAATTCTTTTATGTTTTCCTAAAATTAATAATATTTTATTTTATTCCATTATAAACATTATAAATGCACAATACAAACTTATACTTATCCCATACTTATCCATTACCTGTCCTGATATCCAACTGAAATTTTTTGTTAAATAATATATGACGTTGTATAATGATATCAAATATATAGTTGATATATAAACATATTTTAATATTTCTATAAATCAATTATGTATCTTATTCATAAAAAAGAAATATCTTAAAATATTTTTACCTTTTGTTTATTTATGTTTATGTTTTGCTTATTTTTTCTTTATGTTTAAATTTTCTTTCTTGTGTCAGATAAGTCAAATTTAGATCATTTCGATCATGTGCAATCTTGCATTCACCATATTTGATCTAATTTTGTTATTAATTATGGTTAATGAAATTTATTTAGTAAGTTACACCTACTAAGTAAGTAGTGGAAACATGTTATTAATTTTTTTATTTAAATTTTATATACTGCCATTAAAGGTTGTATATAAAAGTTCGTTTTATTTATTAACCAATCTTTCAAATAAAAAATTAAGTTTACTATTTTACTCTTCGTTCTTTATTTCACATACTTTGCAATTAACAATATTAAGGCCTTGTGTGAGTTCGAGTAAGTTGAGGTAAAGTAAATTGACATTTCTAAAAGATTTTTTGCACTGCACTTATGTAAATATTTATTTATTGCAGTTATTTATTATTTTTGGTTAAAAGTTTTTAAAATTATTTATTTATTTATTTATTAAACATCTTTTAAGATTTTAGCTAATTCACCTAATTTTAAATATCAACTTTTGCTGCCATACCGATATAATTTACTATTTCCCTCAATTTACCATCAATTTACTCAAACTCACACTCGGCCTTAGAAAGTTAGAAACGTAATTTTGAATTATATTTTGAAACGTTGCAGTATAAAATAAAACTGCACAGCATGTTTGAGGAGGGAGAGCTGGCATTGTAAATTTGACAATACATTCAAACATGGCACCTTATGTTAGTTTTTTTTGACATTTGGTGAAGCAGAAGGAGCCGAACTGAAAAGTTAGTAGAATCGACCAAACAGTTATGCGTGGTACGGTTTTTGCAAATTGTTTTCTTGTAAAGTATATAATATAGAGATAAAAAAATAATGTTTTAAATAGTGTAAAAGAATAGGCTGAAGGTAGTTTAAACGCGTGAAAGAATTACGACAAGAAATTTAGTAAATTTTACATTTTGCGCGTCGGTGGTGAAATTATTTCTTAGCTTCTGCATAAATAATGACTACCAAAAAAGCGTGTGAAGAGGTAAATTTAAATGTATTTATATGCATATATTTTAAATGCGTTATATATTTTTTTAAAAACTTAGGTAAAGCAATGTGTACAACAAAAATTTTCCGATATACGTGCATGTCTGGACATGCGAGAGAAATTGTTGTTGCGTCAATTAGACGTCATTGCTCAGCAAATGGAGCGCAGTAATTTAAATGGCGCTGCAGCTGCGTATATTTTAGATGCAAAAACTGCAACTAATGAAAATGATTTCCTATTTCTTGTGGAAAATGAAGACGAACTACTAGCAGCGATACGTTCCTTTGGGCGGTTTCATTTAGATAATGTAAATCTTGCACTACAAGATTTATATCTTAAACAAGAAGACTATATAACACCCACCAATGATCATGAAACTATGTACAAATGTTTACAACAGAATGGTAATGTTGATGATATACCAGTCGTGTTAGAAGATGAAGAACAACCAACTTCAATAGTTGTTGATTTTTCCAAAAATAAATCACTTATAGAGCACAATGCCAAAAACATGAATGAATCTATTATTAATATAACATTAGCAGAAGCTAAAGAACTGATAAGAAAAGCAAAAAACAAACGTGAGCAACCAGTACCACCATTAAATTTAGAAGAACTTAACGATGAGCTGGAATCATCGATTGCTGAAGCTGTGTCAAGTCTAGCACGAGAATCACCAGAAAATACAAAATTTTCACAAACTAGCTTGGACAAAAAATACAAAAAAAGTCGCTTCCAACCAAAAATTACTATTAACAATTGTAATGGTACAATAAATCTACGCAATATATCCAATCTAACTATTAATTGTGCTAGTGAGGATGCCGTTAACGCTGATATACCTCTGCAGCAAGAAGCATCACAGAATAATGAAAATGATGCAGAAAATGTAACTACTACAGATTTTTCGAAAAATACTAATAGTACAAATAATTCTAAGCAATCAAGTATTTCGAATTCTGTAACTAAAACAAACTATATGGAAACTAGTTCTACTGGTGATACTACACCTACCACCACAACTGGTTCGAACTCAAACTATTCCAGTAATGCAAGCTCACGTTCACAATCGAGAAAACAGAAAAAATCACAACAAAATCTAACAGATAGTTATGCAACTAGTAGTTTCATAAGCAACGTTACATCACAAGCAAACACAAATTCCAAAACTTCTTATCCAAATGCTGTTCCACACGTTGATGATGATGACGATGATGATGTAGATAATCGTGATGTAACATGCGATTTTTATAATCGCTTACTCAACGAAATCAAAAACAGTTTAAAGGAAAAAACAAAGCAACGTGTTGTGGACAATTCACAATATTTAATTAGTTCCAGTCGTAGTGTTCAATCAGCAGCAGCAGACTCCACATCGGATGCAAATTCGAATGCTACAAGTGTTACCACAACGAAATGTAACACTAGTACCGGTCCAACAAGCACACAACCTGGCAGGCGTTTGGTTTTGAAAAATTTTGAAAATCTACGAATTGTGCTGGAAGCAAATAGCGATGAAGAAACATTTCATCCGGTACAAATCGAGCAATGGTTAGCGGAAATTATATCAGAAACTGATTTGGAACCCATGCCAAATACAGATATACTGGAGCACAGCAAAATACATACTGAAGACACTTAAAAAGTTATATTTAGATGACAATTGAAACGTATCAACTTATAAGATCCTTATATTTAAGGTAATTTAGATAATAAGTTATAAATTTCCACCGAATATCCTTTTAGAAATTATATATAAACATTTTATAGCGTGTTTATATCGATATGTGTATTGCTTCTTTTAATATATATATATTTTTTTTTGTATTACTGCAAATGTGATATATTCTGATATGCTTTCTCTATCACTTAACATATTTTACACTTATTCTTATTTTTCATATATAAGTATACTTTATAAATAGTATAAAGTATAAATAAAGTATAGTATAAAGCTATACTATTTTTAATAATTGTGAAAGAATTAATAATACAAGAAAGTTACTTTAATAAGTTAAATTAATTTAAGAACTTGTTCATTTCCAATTTGACTAGGACTCTACAACTTTCTGACAGCTTTTAAGGCCCAAGTATTTACAATACGACCAATTTTGGTACGAATATTCACTATTTAGCAAAAGGAAGGTGTATAACGTGCAGAATATCAGTTTGGCATTCGACTTTAATCTGATTTCAGCTTGAAATAATGTACATCACAGCTATTGCAAAGTGAAATCTTTATACAATTCTTGAGTTGATCTATATTTTATGACCTTTCCTTCTTTTTGTCATCAATCTTAGGATTTTCACTTTATTTATTTCATTTATTTTTCACTATGTGTACCAATATGTGTAGACCAGGTACACCAAAATTGTGACTTTTCATCCAGAACGAGTTGATTGCATAAATTAGAAAGGTCAAGTATCCAATCTTTCCACACTGATTGCATTTACTAATTTTATATCTGCAATTTTTTGAAGCATGATTACGCCAACCAAATTGATGGCATTGTTTTTCACTTTGTTGATTGCAAGTTCAATTTTTATTGTAATTTTTATTATTGCTGGCATACTTATTGTAGTGTCTATTAGTATTTTAGTTAAAACTCCGTTCGATTCAAGTAAATTGTTGATACTGACTTTATTAATGTCTTTTATTCTAGAACTTACTTGGACGGTAGTGTGCACATAGCGAGACTTGCGAGCTCGACATTTATGCCTCGCGCAAGACGTTAAAGGTTTAAATTTTAAACCGAAAATCTAAAATTCGACACACTCTTTAAGCTCTAAGGTTTAAAATTAAAACATATCGGTTTTTGTTTTTAAATTCAAAAGTTTATACTTAAAACTTCAGAGTATAAACTTTAAACTCTTTACTCTTAATTTTAAACTGAAGGTTTATTCTTATATTAACCCTTTAAATGAAATAAGAGCAACAAAATATTTTTTGTTTAAAAATATATTTTATTCATCGTTTATTCAATTAATGTTTTTGACAAAATAAATATACTATTTAAAGCTTTCACGGAATTGTACGAAGTTTTTTTACAAAGATCACTAAATTTTATTACAGAAATTATACTAGTTTCTTGTATTTCAAAAGCACAAAAATCATTATTATAATTTTTAGAATTTATAAATGATTTATAATAAAATTTAGCTCTTTAAACTTACGCTTACAAACGAAACAAAAGTATTTTTTTTCCATCTCAAAATAATTACAATTAATAAATTTCACTATTTTGTACGTTTTGAATTGTTGACCAAATTTCAAACACTCTAGTAGGTGCTTTACAATTCGGAAACTTATAAATAAATTTTTCAAAAAATTTAAGGAAAAGATTTAAACTTTTAGTGTATCTTATATTAAATACATTAAATATTTTAAAGTATATGTCAAACACTTGACAAAAGTTATAGTGACTTGGAATTGGTAATAACTTACAGTCTAAACATATAAAAAATTGAGTTATTACCAATTTTGTAGATTCTTTTGCAATAATCGTCGGTTCTGGATTTAGCACTAATCGTTCAATTTCCGTTGGTGACGTGTTTTCTTCAAAAAATTGAATAAATGCTGAAATACCTCGATTTGAAATAGCACTAGTTTCTTTATTTCTTGCGCCAGTTGAAGATGGTATCAGTTTTAATAAAGCCAGAAAAATTTTTATATCTTCATTCCATTCTAGAAAAAAAAGTGCTCTATATTTATAAAAAATAATGGAAGTAGGTAAGACCAGATACCTTCAAGAGAGCAGTCTTGTATCCCTTTTGATGCTAAGACTGTTAGCACTTTTTTTTTCTATTTCTTGCTAAGCTTTTGTAAACTGAGTGGTGATTTGTGGAAACTGAATACAAAAATCAATTAAAATCTGAAAGTGAGCTCATATAAGAATTTCATTCCACATTTTCAAATTTACTTTACTAACCAGTTCGGGATCCAAAAAGTAGAATGGAAATATATTTTTTATATTAATTTTTTGCTCTAGTAACTTCTTTCTTTGCTGTGTTGTTTTTTTTAATATGGTAATCAATTTTTCTTTCTCTGAGGGAATTTCCACAATCTTAAAAAAAAGCAAATTTTCTTCTGATAATTTCAATTCACTATCATCACACTTGGTGCTTCTAACACACGGTTCTTTTGAATCTTCTATTTCATACTTCTTTCTTTTGAACTTACGGTTTTTAAGTTGGCTTTGTAGGTAACCTGTATTATTATCAGGATCAAAAAAAAATTTCCTAAAGGGAAAAAAATGAAGTGAATTGAAATAAAAGAAAGCAAATTTCTTTTGCAATATTTTGTATACTTACTGCTCCACAATACTTTGAATTGGTTCGCAAACATGGGATAAGCTCCGTTGCAATCGTTGCAATGCGTAATTTAACTATTTTGCTCGGGTCCAAATTTACTTGTAACGAAGTCTGCCAAAGCTCCGACCATAAGTCTTCTACTTTTATCATCGATGGTTAAATCATTTTTAAATCGTTTTAGAAGTGGACCAATTTGACTATTTTTTAAGAAACTTTCAACCTCCTAAAATCGATTGATTAATAGTATTTTTAGTAATTTTTGCAAAACACATATAATAAACATACCGTTGTGGAAATAGTACAGTCATCGATAGCGACAGGAATGAGTCGTGACGCTGTACTAATAAATTGGTCAGCTGATTGTGCCATATTTGTAACGTGGTATTTTTCTATTTCTGATAAATTTTCAATTTCGCTATTTGCTTCTTCAATTGGTATTAATATGTCACTATCTTCTGTGACAAACAGTCTATGTACATCGAGCTGTATTGGTTCATCTAAGTTATGTGGAATTTTTTCCTCTATTTTATATTTAGAATAAATATTTATTAACCTGTCTCTGGTTTCCCAAAATACAGAGTTAACAATTTTTTTATGGTTTTCTGTTAATCTATGGCTATAGTTTATGTATATAGTTCTGATATTCTCTAAACTATTAACTAAGGTCAATAAGTGTTTTCTCAGAGTTTCTGATCTGATAAACGTATTTTTGTTTATACACTTGTATGGCTTGTTGAAATTTTCTTTTTCTATTCTTAGAAATTCTTTGATTTGAGACCATTTATCCATAAGAGTTAAAGAATTTTGTTGACTGATTTAATGAAAAATTTTTCTAACTATTTCATTCGCATAGTTAATTATTTTATTGTGTTTCTTCAAATGATTGTCTAATTTCTGTTTAGTTTTGCAGCTTTTGCTACATACAAAGCAGTTAAAAGTTTTCGTTTTGAGGAATCTAAGAAATATTTAACTTTTGAATATCTAACTATTTATATTTTTTCTAATACAGTAGCGATATTTGCAGTTTTTACGAAATTTTTCTTAAGGGATCTACGATGAGCCTTGTACAATTTCAGAGCTAGGTTTGCAGTTAGCAAAATAATTATTATTACGAAAAATTTTGTTGGGTCGTAAGGTTCTCTTCTATCAACTTCTATTTCGTTTACTACATTAGCTACAGGTTTATTTATTTTCGATTGAGGGCTCCCCATTATAAAATAAGAAACAACAGAAAAAAAAAATATCAACAGTAGAGAGACAAGAAAAAAAATCAAAGAGATACCGTAGTGATTAAACAATTAAAAAAAAATTTTTTTTCATTCAAAACATACTTTATAATATATTATAATTTTTAATGCAAAATATGTTTTACATATATATATAATTTTTTAATTTAAAACATTTTTTTTTTTTAAAAAATTTTTTTTTTTATTTATGTATCAAAACAATTTTAAATAATCAAATTAAGATAAGATTTACATTATCCCTACCTATGGGTTTTGGCAACGGCTTAACGCCATGTTGTGCCTCTATTGGTTTGCTCTTTAATTTGATAGAGCAAGCTCCATTACAATTATAAAAAAAAACAATATAAAAAAAAAGAATTATACTTATTTCTCCTGTACAGCTCTTCGTTTTTGTAACTGTCTGCTGTGCCTAGCTTGTATAATTTCGTCAATTTGTTGCCATATTTTACTTGCGATCTCCCACGATGGTGGTGGTTCTGTATACAAGGAAGCCTTCAGAGCTGCTATTTTCTTCCGCTCTTGCACCAGTACGCCACCCCTCTTTCTGGGTTTGGGTATTGTCAGTATAGTTGTAAGCTTCGCTTCTAGGTGCCGTTGTTGTCTGGCACGATATTCCTCGATTGTGAGACGTTTTGGCCCTGGTGCATTGGACATGTGTTATTTTTATTTTAATATTTTATATATATATATATTTTTTTTTTTAAAAATAATCACAGTCCTGCAACAAAGTCACGGTCGCCATGTAATATTTGCTTCCAAGTGCCGTTGTTTGGTTTTGCAAAGGATATTTAAACGCGATATTGTTTAGCGATCCTTTTGCTAACATTAGTTTTTATTTATTTAAAAGTCAAAAAAAAGTTTTGCTGTTCGGAACCTAGTGCGCTTCTATTGAGTGCACTTCTAGTTCTCATTTTTATTTAGATTTTCACTTTCGACTTAACCTAGGTACATAACGACGCAGCGTATGTACTTTCTTATTTACTAAATATTTTTAACAATTATATATGTATTTTAGTATTGTTTATATTAAAATGTATTTTTATTTATGTACAAAACGGCGCAGCGTAAGTACTTTACTATTTAATAATTTATTGCTAAGTAAACGTCTTCGATTCCACTTGTATCGAGTACGCTTACTGTTGATGTTGTTGTATATGCGGTCAATGCCTGGCAAGCATATGGTTATATCGAAGGCAAAGTGCCGCCGATATGTG